GAGTGGACTGTGCCACTGGGGCCGTCGGTGAAGCTCCCTGTCGGGCCACGAAACGCTGTGCTGGGAAGGGGGGGCGCATGTGGACTTTGCCACCGGGGCCTTCGGTAGAGCTCTGTATGGGCCACGAAACTTTCCCACTAATTAGGGCCTTCGGTGGAGCTCCCTATGGACCACGAAACGCTGTAATGGGTCGGGCAGACGCGAGTGGACTGTGCCACTGGGGCCCGCGGTGGAGGTCCTCATGGTGACACGAAGCTCGTGGAATTATGCGGACGGCAAGAATACATGAGGAGGAGGAGGAGGAGGGGGAGGAGGAGAGAGGGGAGGAGGAGAGGAAGGAATCGCGGGCACTGTCTCTTCAAAACCAGGACCCAACACCACAGGATGGTTCTGGGAAGAACAAGCGGGGTGGGGTCCCGCAGCCTGCTAGCTGATTCGGGTGCAATCGAACTCCTGCAGGACAACTACGAGGGCCCAAGAATCCTTCAGGACGACCCCAACAGGCCCGAGAAGTCCTCAAGAGACCAAGGCGGCCGAATGTGGCCCCAACAGTATGCTTCAGAGCTGGCCCAGGAGACCAAGAGGGCCTCAAGCTGCCCAAGAGAGAACAAAACATTCTGAACCACCTCAGTGTTTTCAACGTGATGAGTTGCCTGTTCCGTGTCGGCGCCCTGGTTGTCTCAATCGCGCTTCAGCTCGACCCCCCCTATCCCCAGAGATCACACAAGACTGCCGTCCATCTGTGTAGCTGTTGGAATGTCTAAAGACGTATGTACGCCGCAATTAAGCGAGAACCACCTCGAAAACAATGAAGCGAGAACCACCTTGAAAACAACTTGCCCTGCATCCGTGAGACTGTCCCAGATCCAACGCTTTTGATCATGGCCAAAACAGACGGGCCTACTTGAAGGGGCCCTGGGACACACAAATAAGCACACACAAATAACAGGATCCTACATATTTACCCATATTTTCTGGGTTTTTGTCTTCCCCCCACTTCCCATATTTTCCTATATTTTCCTGGGGATCGTCGATTAATTGTGTCTGTGTGCTTTTTCCCTCCTGACTACTGACACGTCTGTTTGCTCGACGACGACGGTTTTTGATATGGAGAAACGGTAGACCCGGAGGGGGAGGGAGGAGGTACCAGACATCCACACACACACACACCGGGGGAGAGGGGCGACTGGGGAGAGAGGCGAGACACGCAAGGCAAGCAAAGTGCGCTCGCGCCACATCTCACATCCCACAGTCAACCCGTACAGTAAGGATGCGGGATAAGGATGCAAGGGCCTTGGATGTCCATTTCGAAGCTTCCCGAGCGGGGCACAGCCAACAGAAGTGGTCAAGGATAGACCGAAGAGGCAAGGATGCGAGGGTACCCTTGGGAAGGTTGCCCATCCTTACCTATACGACCACCCTTCGGGTGATAAGGAGGTGAGGGGGGGGGGAGGGACCAACGTCGCACTCGATCGATCTCACTCTCAATATCACTATCGATCTCACTATTGATCTCACATTCGGTCTCACTATCGATATCACTATCGATCTCCGATTCGGTCTCACTATCGATTTCACTATCGATATCACAATCGATCTCACATTCGGTCTCACTATCGATTTCACTATCGATCTCACAATCGATCTCACATTCGGTCTCACTATCGATCTCACTATCGATTTCACAATCGATCTCACAATCGATCTCACGTTCGGTCTCACTATCGATCTCACCATCGACCTCACATTTTCACTATCGATATCAAAATCGATCTCACATTCGGTCTCACTATCGATCTCACTATCGATCTCACAATCGATTTCACAATCGATCTCACTATCGATCTCACTATCGATATCACATTCGATCTCACTATCGATTTCACATTCGGTCTCACTATTGATCACACTATCGATCTCTCCATCGATCTCACAATCAATCTCACATTCGGTCTCACTATCGATTTCACTATCGATATCACAATCGATCTCACAATCGATCTCACACTCGGTCTAAATATCGATATCACAATCGATATCACAATCGATCTCATTCGATCGATCTCACAATCGATCTGACTATCGATCCCACTATCGATCTCACTATCGATCTCACTATCGATCTCACATTCGGTCTCACTATCGATCTCACTATCGATCTCGCAATCGACGTCATCATCATCATCATCATCATCATGATCATCATCATCATCATCATCATCATCATCATCATCAACATCGCCATCATCAACATCATCTTCATCATCATCACCATCATCATCATCACCATCATCATCATAATCATCATCATAATCATCATCAACATCATCATCGGGACACCGACGGGACACGGACGGGACACCGGCGGGACACCGGCGGGACACCGGCGGGACACCGCGCGCCGCCGGCCGCCCGGTGGAGAATCATTTGGTCCGGCCGCGCCTCAGCCACAGGAGACTTTCCTCTCGCCCGCCCACGCAGCTTCGCCTCGCCCGCACGCACGGCACGCACGAACACGAAACCGAAATCGACTTCCCGGTAGGGGGGCTCTCCGTTCCACTTCGATCTCACCCCCTCACCTCCGACTCTGCGGGTTGGCTGTGCTCCTCCCGCCCATCCCTTCTCACTGCGCTGACCGTTTCTGTATCCGCCGACGGGTGTCATACAGGACGTGGAACCAAGCAAATACCCCCATCGTCTCATACGCAGCCAGACAGAGGAAGCTGTGTGCAGTGGAGGAGGAGTGGGTGGCGGATCAGCGAGAGGATGAGCAGGAAGAGGAGGATGAGGATGAGAAAGGAGGAGGACGAGGAGGAGCAGCAGCAGCAGCAGAAGTACGAGGAGCGGGAGGAGCAGGAGGACCAGGGGAAGGCGGAGGAGAAATTGCCGGGTTGGGTCGACCACGACGACGGACTCGGCTCGAGAATTTTGATCCTCGCTTGGGCGAGAGCGTCATTCTGAACGGCGGGAGCAAGCGTCTATCCGAAAATGAAGTCAACGCTGCAGCGGGACCAACGTTCTGATTACGAAACATCATCAGAACTCCCGCGCGCTAAAAACGATACGCAAGACAAACAAATCCCCGCGCGGGGATCCGTGGAGAGAGGAACGCAGTATTCACAACAACTGCGGGAAAAGGGAAGACAAGGGGACGGGATGGAAGCGGGTGCCCTGGCAAAGAGGTCGAAGCCTTCGAGGGATGCAGAAGCGGGGAATAAGAAGGAAGCAAGGACTCCCAACTTCGCGCTTCGCGCTGCGCTAAGCGCGAAGTGCGAATAACTTCGCGCTCTCGCGCCGCCTCCCATGGGAGAAGAGGAGGATGAGGAGGAATTGTAGCCGAACCGCGAAGCGCGAATAACTTCGCGCCCTCGAGGGCGCCCTTGAGGAAGGGGGGGAAGGACGAAGCTGAGGGAGAGGGGGGGAGCGACGTTCAACACGGCTCGAGCGCATAGCGCCCCACTCGGCCAAAACCTGGGCGAACGCAAACACGAAGTAGGTGGACCCCATCTCCGCGAACCAATGAAAAACAAAACGCCATTTGACCCGCTACCCGTCGGTCGGAAGAAGTGGGTAAAAACATGAAGTAGGAAGGCGGATTAAGCTGATTGGGTCCAGGCCCCCCCAGGGAATAACAAAACACAGCAAAAGCGTGTCGATTCTTGAAGTAGGAAGGCGCTTGAAGCAGATTGGGATCTGGGAATCCAAAAATACCAACTTTCAGCGACCAGCGTGTATCTTTGCAATAAAAGCACGCCTTTGCAACGCTACACGGGCAAGTGGGGCGATCAGCCCCCATCGCATTGCAGTGAACGAAGGACTCTGCATCGCTACCAGGATACCAGTGTATTTGGGTTGCTGCGAAGCCGCGTGACAAACACACGACGAATGAAGAGAAACTAACGCGGTGCACAACACCTCCGCACAGCTCTTCCAGCTGTCTCCCGGGATGATCGCAACATCTTCGTTGGAAAACCGCCAGCGGCGCAGACGGTAGCGGCGTGTCTGCCGACTGATTTTGTCCGAGACTGCTTAGGACGGCCTCTCTTGCTGACGCATCACAACTGTGTCAAAACACTCGGGGTAGAGGGGAGAAGGAGGAGGGGGGGTGCTATGGGATGCACGGAATTTCTTCTCTCGTTTGAACAAGCTGGAAGGTGCCCCGCCACCCACCCTCGCTGCCTCGCTTGCTCTCTGCCCTCTTCTCTCTTCTCTCCTCTCCCGCCCAGCTGTGCACCCCGCTCACAGACCCCCCTTGATAAGATGGCTTCGAGGGAGTGGCGTGAGACACGGGTCTCCAAAAGTTTCCGGACGCCTCCGCGAGGCCCCGGACGCCATTGGCCCGGAGGTCCCTCGGGAGGGAAGCGGGGGGAGCGAGGCAGGCAAGAGGGCGCCAGCTGCTCGCCTGCTCCGAGCCTGGCCAGGCCCACCCTGGGCCCAGGCTCAGTGCACACGCCCTCCCGCCCCGGGCAGGAGGGCATGCAGACCGATCCCCTGCCCAGGATCGGCCTGGCCAGCGCCGATGCAGACGTGCAGCTGGCGCCCTCGGAGCAGGGACGGCGGGCGGCGGACCGGAAGCCTGCGCGGGGGGCGCCGGCGTCGTGGAGGCGCCACGGGGGATGGAGGCAGGCGGGCGGACCAGGGGCCCGCTCGGACGTTCCGAGCGCGAGAGGGTTTCGTCCGACTTGTGCGGTTGCTTCCCCCATTTTTTTTTTCCTCGCTGAGGAGCCGGTCCCCGCGAGCTCATCGCAAGCTGGCGTGGTGCAGGCAGCCACGATGCACGAGCCATCAGGGCTTCCTAGGTTTGGGGGGATTTGGAGGCCCAATGTGCTGGGGTCATGGACGCGCCGTCGCCACCGCCGTCGGCGCCACCGTCGCCGCCACGGTCGTCGGGGTCGTCGTGGTCATCGTGGTCGTCGTCGGCGTCACCGACGTCGCCGCCACCGCCGTGGTCTCACCCGTCGTCGTCGTCGCGCGATGCCCACCTCCGCGGCGGTCCGCGCCTTGCTGCCCTTTTCGAACTCCCCCTTGCCCTTCCGCTTCCGGAACCTCGGCTGAGCCCTGGGGGAGAAGCGACGGTGAACCGGAGACACAGATAGGAGGACGCCAAATATACACGTGCCCCTGCCTTGGCCAGGGCAGTCCTGGGCCAAGGATCGATGCATAAGAAGAGGAGGATGAGGAGGAGGAGGAGGAGAAGGGGGAGAAGGGATAAGGAAGTGGATCGGGATCGTAGGAGAGGAGGAGGAGGACGAGGAGGAGGTATAAAGGAGAGTAATCATCTCATCGTGACTGGGATAATGAACTTGCCGTGCACGCTCCTATTCCTTGATATCCACACATATGTTTTTACATGCACATTCCACTTACTGTACACATTTGCGGCCTTTGCGGCCTTTGTCCTGCAATGAATCCGTTTGCTCCACGTCCGCCATTGTTTGGCCAGCAGTATAATCAGCAACAGTCAGGTTATGGATACCGCCTACAAGTGCCCTTCCAGTTCCCGACGGCTTCAAGCACGTCTGCACCCACGCCACGTCCTGCGCCGATGCGTGTGTACGAGGGACAAGTCGTAGATATGAGGGTGCACAATCATGATGAGCAGGGGAGATTCCTACCCCTCCATGCAGACAGTGTTGATCGATTCAAAATTGTGAGCGTGGCCACAAATCATGATGAACAAAAAAGCGCGCTTTACCAGTATTCCTTCGTGCACACGAAGAATGGGACGTCACTGTCCAGCGTGCTCAGGAAATCTCTGGCCTCATTCCCATGTCGTGCAGCGAGGAGACTTGGAATAACGATGTGGTCGGTGTTCGTTCGATGCTTGAGACCTTAAACATTCCCCCAGCGGAGTTTGTGAGTGTCTTCTTGGAGAGGAGATGGTCCGACGACACTTTGCGCCAGAATCGTTCGTGCCCTCGGGACTATGAGTTTCGCCGGGAACATCGCACGGAGCGTTCTCTGTTTGAGAATTTCCAGAGAAGCGATATGGAGCAAAACCATAGCAGTGCCAGGTCGACTCGCGTTGACCCCCAGGAGTCCACGGGATGCACCATCAAGAACAACGAGAAAAAAACACGGTGATTGGCGTGGAGCAGATTGCTGGCGAGAACAACTTCCAGGTGAAGATCCAGCAGCTTCTCTAACCATTCGTGGGATTCCGTAATGAACGACATGGAGATCCACAGGGTTCCGGTTCATGAGCTGTCCACGCCGAGTCCCTGGCCGAGGCGTCGCCCGAGGCGGGCAGAGACAGCATCCTCTGGCTGGGCCAAAACTGTGGAACAACAGCAGCTTTGATCCGTCGGTACTGTGTTTCATATTTCACCTGCCACGTGGCGAACTAGTGTGCACGCGCGCGAGTACATAGCACCTGTATTTTCGAAGCTTGGCATGAATGTTGACACGTGCGTGTTTCTCCTCTTCCTCTTCTCCCTGCTTCTGCCAGCGCTTCAACGAAAGAAATTGGACGGAGATGGGAAATAAGTATAAGTTGACTCACGTGTGCCGCTCCCGTCTGTTGCTTGAATGCAAGTCGTGGGATCGGCGCGTGGCTGTCGGCAGCGTCCGCTGCGTGGGCGTCATCGTAGAACACGTCCATTGCCCGTGCGTCCAGGTGAAGGCTTGGAGACAAATCTGCGGGCTCTTGCGCTCTGTCAAAGCTCATATGTGTGGGTTGCGTTTCTCGTCCTCTATGAAAGTAACAGTCGTTGCGAAGTCAAAGATTGGATGCTCTTAATTCTAGACGCTTCGCGTAATCCCACCAAGCCGTCCAGAAACGATGCCCAGGGGAATTGCCTCGACAGGGAAATGGGCAGCACACACAGGAAAGGTCCCCCAGTGGAGGTTTCTTGGAGCGTCTTGGGGGCCTCTTGGCCGGTCCTGGACGCCTCTTAGAGCGTCTTGGGCGCATTGGAAAGATTATTGGGGCCTCTTGGGGGTCTCTTGGGAGCCGGAGGCCTCTTGGGCGCTTGTTGGGGCCTCCTGGGCGCCTGTTGGGGCCCACTTGAAGCGCTCTCGGGAGCCTTGGCAGCGCTCTTGGGGCCATCTTGGAAGACATCGATCAAACAAGAAACGAGCATGAATTAGCGCTGCCCCTCGGGAGCCCGAACAGTCGCCTCTTGGGGCGCTCTTGGAGCGTTCTTGGAGCGCTCTTGGGGCCGTCGTGGGGCTCTCTTGAGCCTCTCTTGGAGCCCTCTTGGGCCATCTTGGGGCCATCTTGAGGCCTCGGATGACCATCAGAAACGAAAAAGCGATAAAGCCAAAAACACTGATTTTCCAAAGGTTTTGGAAGGATTGTAGCCTCTTCGGGGCCTCCTGGGGGAGCTCCTTGGCCACTTGGAGCCGTCTTGGAGCGGTCTTGGGGCATCTTGGAGCATCGTGGGGGCCATTCTGAAGCATCTTGGGATATTTTGAGCCATCTTGGAGGTCATCTTGGGCTCTCCCAGACGTTCTCGGAGTCAACATGATCAGTTCCCCCCCCCCCGGAGGCCAGCATGTCGCCAAAACTTTAATACCATCAATGATTTTGGCATTCTCGCCGAAGCCTCTTGGAGCGTCTCGGGTGCCTCTTGGGGCCCCTTTGGTGATCTCTTGGGAGCCTATTGGTGGCATCCTAAGCGCCTCTTGGGGGCCTTTTGGGGCCTCCTGGCCACCTCTTGGGGCCCTTTTGGGGCACCCTTGGGAACCCTGGGGACCATCTTCAGGCCATCTTGGGTGAATTCGATCAGAGGAGGGGGGGTCCCGAATTTGCTTCCCCGGGAAACCTTAGTAAAACAATGATGTGGGTTTCTTCGCCGAGGCCGTTTTGGACGCTCCAAATACCTGCGGAACACCCCGTCCAGGTCCAGGGGAGAAGGTAGGGGAGGGGTCAAGTTACCCCCTCCCCGCCCGCAAGCCGTTTCGCTCACTCCCACCCGCCCTCCCAACACATACGTAGCACCCGAGTCTGGCCCGAGCCTGAGCATATTCAGCAGTCGTCTTGGGATGGGCAGCTACTGGGGCCAATCCGCCGCCGCCGCCGCCTCCGCCGCCGCCGCCGCCGCCGCCCCGCCGCCGCCGCCGCCGCCACCGCCGCCGCCGCCCGCGCCGCCGCCTGCCGCCGCCGCCGCCTCAGCCGCCGCCGCCGCCGCCGCCGCCGCCGCCGCCGCCGCCGCCGCGCCGCCGCCGCCGCCGCCCCCCTGCCAAACCGCCGCCGCCGCAGCCGCTGCCGCTGCCGCAACCGCCGCCGCTACCGCCGCCGCCGCCACCGCCGCCGCCGCGCCGCCGCCCCGCCCCCCGCCGCCGCCGCCGCCGCCGCCGCCGCAGCCGCCGCAGCCGCCGCCACCGCCGCCGCAGCCGCCGCAGCCGCCGCCGCCGCCGCCAAGTGTACTCTGTTTTGTTTTTTAACAGGGATGGTGGGGGGGGGGCCGCACCGGGTTGGCTGCGCATGTTCCGAATTTGGAGGCAGAGCGTGTGTTGTATTGTTACCTAACAGCGAAGACTGATAGGTTTCTAGTGGTCTCAAAACAGAGCAGCAAATGACTCCACAGGGGGGTCTGGGCGGGTGCCGGACAGGGTGCCGCAGAAGTCGTTTTAAGCCAACAGTCACACACTTCGTGCTCTTCGACCTCCCAGAACTCCATTCCCGGGCCACATTCTGAATGCCCGGAGCCAACTGTAGGCCACTTCGTGCTCTTCGACTTCCCAGAACTCCATTCCCGGGCCACATTTTGAATGCCCGGAGCCAACTGTAGGCCACTTCGTGCTCTTCGAGTCCCCAGAACTCCATTCCCGGGCCACATTTTGAATGCCCGGAGCCCACTGTAGGCCACTTCGTGCTTTTCGATTCCCAGAACTCCATTCCCGGGCCACATTTTGAATGCCCGGAGCCAACTGTAGGCCACTTCGTGCTCTTCGAGTTCCCAGAACTCCATTCCCGGGCCACATTTTGTATGCCTGGAGCCAACTGTAGGCCACTTCGTGCTCTTCAAGTTCCCAGAACTCCATTCCTGGGCATGATTTTGAATGCCCGGAGCCAACTGTAGGCCACTTCGTGTTCTTCTAGTTCCCAGAACTCCATTCCTGGGCCACATTTTGAATGCTGAGGCAGGCTGATGCTGCGGCCGAGGCAGGCTGAGGCTGAGGCAGGCTGAGGCTGAGGCCGAGGCTGAAGGCAGACTGAGGCTGAGGCTGAAGCAGACTGAGGCTGAGGCTGAGGCAGGCTGAGGCTGAGGCTGAAGCAGGCTGATGCTGAGGCAGGCTGAGGCTGAGGCTGAGGCTGATGCAGGCTGAGGCTGAGGCAGGCTGAGGCTGAGGCCGAGGCTGAAGGCAGACTGAGGCTGAGGCTGAAGCAGGCTGAGGCTGAGGCTGAGGCAGGCTGAGGCTGAGGCAGGCTGAGGCTGAGGCTGAGGCAGGCTGAGGCTGAGGCTGTGACTGCGACTGCCGTTGCCGCTGCGACTGTCATCGCGAATGCGACTACGACTGCGAGAACAGCAGAATTCTACAACTGGATTTTCGTCTGAATCTTAAGGGGAATGCTTTCATATATGCTTCTACACATCGCTGTTAGGTTGCTTTGCCGGGATAATTACCTAACAGCGAAGACTGATAGGTTTCTAGTGGTCTCAAAGAGAGCAGCAGATGACTCCACAGGGGGGTCTGGGCGGGTGCCGGACAGGGTGCCGCAGAAGTCGTTTTAAGCCAACAGTCACACACTTCGTGCTCTTCGACCTCCCAGAACTCCATTCCCGGGCCACATTCTGAATGCCCGGAGCCAACTGTAGGCCACTTCGTGCTCTTCGACTTCCCAGAACTCCATTCCCGGGCCACATTTTGAATGCCCGGAGCCAACTGTAGGCCACTTCGTGGTCTTCGAGTTCCCAGAACTCCATTCCCGGGCCACATTTTGAATGCCCGGAGCCAACTGTAGGCCACTTCGTGCTCTTCGAGTTCCCAGAACTCCATTCCCGGGCCACATTTTGAATGCCCGGAGCCAACTCTAGGCCACTTCGTGCTCTTCGAGTTCCCAGAACTCCATTCCCGGGCCACATTTTGAATGCCCGTAG